AATTAGCACTTAATACAACTAATATTACAATTACTTGCCAAAAATGGTTATTCTTGTGACGTTTAACTGTTTCAGGTTTGATATTAAAAATAAATATCCACATATTACGAAAATGTATATAGAATTTGCTATTATCCGTCTCTACAAACATGTCTAACATATGAAAACCAATAATGAATTTAAAAATGACTCAATACGTGATTCATAAATAACGTTTTGGTCTTACTGCTGAAAACATGAATGACTTCAGTCGAACGCAGAAACGTTGCGATCGTTGATCATTAATCCTAAGGATAAATTATTACATTTGACCAAGAAGAAGAGGAAACGACTAAATAAGAAGTTCGAAAATCGAGCACCTTGTGAACACAGGCCACTCAATAGTAGTCACCTTGAAAATCAGTGGATACAAGAAACATTTTACGACATAGAATCTAGTTGGCTTTATTGACCTTATTGTATTTTCTCTGTTGATAAATATATGAATGCACGCTGATTGCAATATAGGGATGATAGCGACGACGTTAGAATGATTTTGTAGTTTGACATCACTTAACAGCCAATGAGAAACGAAGCAATCAACTTGTAAGAGAATAGCGTTCTTATGGAGTTTATCAGTTTCTCCGGACTTATTACCAGTTCTGAGGTGTTAATATCGGAAAAATGACGCTACAGAATCTCATTTTTCTGCATGCGGATACCAGTCACATCTAAGGTTTCGTTCTGATTCATTCCCGTAGCCATTATTAATCACATAAAAAGTCTTTATGAATAAGTCTGCTGAACAGCCGCCAACCCGAGCTTCCAATTTTGAGGAAACTCCCAAAGTCAAATGACCTTCACCAATGTTTGGGGAACTTTGGCGTCATTTTGTGCCATTTCCCCAAAATGTACTATAGCGACTTCCCCAAAATCTGCCAAATCCTCCCCAAAATTGTGACCTTGGGAAGATAAGACAACGATATTGGGAATTCAAACATGAACATCACAATCCATTTTCACATCCCCACTCTACAAGTTTACCTATTGTTCACTGAGCTTGCCGTGGATTAAGTGATCAAACACAAAAATTCGTTAGTTTGCGTGTTATATACAGTCTGCATAGAAAGTAAGGAAATGGACCGTCATCTGTAATGTCACTAAACAATCCCTACCACTATTTCCAGTAATATTTGGAAATGGGTTGTACGAAACTAATCAAAAACCCACTCTCTTGATCGTAATTACATCAGCAGCTTAATATAGTTTTACCACTTGGAAACCATATTTTCAACTGCCCTCCAGTTACTTGCTTATACATTCGCCCACTAGCTCACTTCATCTTTCGAAATGAGACAAGACAACTTCTTTCGTTATTCTAATGTATGCAAATTATCATTACAACTGTCTTTAAAAAAAACAACTTCATATATATAAGTTAGATAATCCGATGAGAAGACTATATGAACACGTGTTGTGAGCAATGAGTCAAATCACGCTCCGTCAGAAGAACATCACAATACGCATTAGACTCGAACCGATATCGTGAATTTGACGGTGAACTCCCTCTATGGCTCATCATCTTCACCGTGCACACTATCGCAATCCAAGATGGGGGTCATATTATTCCCATCTACCTATCTTACACGAAAAATGCAGGTTCAAGGGTGACAAAACCACGAATATCCTTGTGTGCAGTAACAGGCTAGGATTCCCGATTACCAGCCTCAATATTAGGTCCCAACCACTTGTGTCAGTCTTTGCTCACAATGCAACAACTATTAACGCCCTCCCAACTGTGCACTCATATTGGTGAACACCCCCAAATGTTTGTGCACTATGTCCACCTCATTCGGTCTAGGTTGATCGTAGTAAACATGCACTGCCTCTCTCCCGTCACAACCAACATCCTTCAGCAGCATTTGCGCAATTATATAGCCTTCGGCCAATGGGTAAAACGATGGCACCCCACACTCGAGACCATCCATACTAGTACCGATTCGGTCGCCCGCATGCGCACTAACAACACAAACTCTTTGTCCCCACTACACAAAGCTCACACACAAGGTGTCACCACATAAACCACCATGTCAGCCAGGAAAACTACACACTAAGTACAAGGCAATTCGGGACAGAGAACCTCTCATCGGAATCCCAACTTACATTTAAAGAAAAAATGAAAACAAAATCAGAAATTGGTGGCCCTAAACAGGGCCGTGGAAGCGTTCTCTACACAAAAACTCCCGAAACAAATTATTTGGAACCACTGTACTTCGTCACTGCCTTCGTGCCTTCAGACACAGCGTGTTTTGCCAATTCACCTGGCAACAACAATCGGACTGCTGTCTGCACCTCCCGGCTCGAAATTGTCGACTTCTTGTTGTAGTGAGAGAGTCGGCTGGCTTCTGCCGCAATACGCTCAAAGATATCGTTCACAAACGAGTTCATGATCGACATTGCTTTCGACGAGATACCGGTGTCAGGATGAACTTGACGAAGAACCTTGTAGATGTATATAGCATAACTCTCTTTCCTCCTCCTCTTCTTCTTCTTATCAACCTTCGGTAGCTTAACCTTCGACGCTTTCTTAGCAGCTTTACCAGATACAACCTTAGGAGGCATCACTTTGTAGACGAACGCGTACGGCCACACAAATCTCCATCTTCATATTTATATTATATCGCTTTGTAATTTCTGTCTCTCATAGGTTATGGCTTTGTCAATAATTACCAAACGATGATTGGCTGACTTTCTCAAGGTTATATATCGACCTTGTACAAAGCATATGATTCTCATCCCTTCCAACTTGACCTATAAGAAATCGACGTTGTTTTATGTGACTTCGGGGTCGTAATCTTACGCTAATTGGTCTATCTTCTCTCCCCTCTTAAAACACCTAGTTATTAGTCGATAACGGACGTGGTGTATTTCAGCGGGGTTTTTTTATTCAGGTGGAAATTTATGCGCCGCAGCGTTGAGCTCGTTAATACCCGTAAATTATGAAACTACTAAGATGTACGATTACTTGTTTCCAGAAGTATCTTCACTGATCCTAATTCCATTCCAGAAAAAAGTTTTAAAGGTAATCAGTTATATTTTAAAAATTAAGTAACATGGACACAGTTAAGTTCCATCCAATCTAATCAGCTGGATACGATCCAGTGTTTGACTGACTGAAATACTTCCTATTCTGAAACAATTTATCGATCCGGTCATGTAATTAGTACATCAAGATTATCAGATACAAGGTATAGTTTCGGTCATGCAACTGTAAGACATACAACTTCCCACTTCATTTAAGCGTGGAGTCGCTCCACAATTCTTTGTAAAGGATCTGCGGGACAAATGAGTCTGATCCATTTTACACTAATAATGTAATTATTTAAGTAATGACTAGCTTAAATTGTTGATTATTTATCAGAATTTGTCGTCTGAAATGAGTATTTTGCTTCGTCTCAATCCGGCTAATGAGATTTTACAAATTTCCATATTTAAAGATCTTTTCTGCTTGTCTTGTGAATACATCGACATTTCCACAAAATTGTCCTTGAAATGGAGTTTTCCTGAACAATTCTTAATAGGTACATACATTTGCCAAAAACTCCCCTCAACGAAATTTACCTTGAACCGGATTTGTTGGTCATACGACAACTTAATTACCCCAACTGGTTAACGAAGATGTTTACATCCAATTACTGTTGTAAGCATTATTATAACCTAGTGTTGCTAATGTTGCTCGAATGGTTTAATCCAAATGCGAAAAGAGCATGTACTGTTCAAATAGGTAAATCGAAGTAGCTAGACTTCTTGACTTGGTGCTAATCAGGACATTACAGAATACGTTTATGAGAAGCCAACTTGGTGTACATGTATGGACTTGTTTTCTGACCTGAAACTACAATTGTCTCTTCAATGAGTAACTTTACTTCGAGTTTTGGTCTGCAATTTATTATATTGTCGTGGTAATATACTTTTCCTTATGCAACTAATCAGGAAGTATTTCCTAAAATTTTACAGGCCAAATTTCGGTCGTTTGTGTTTATCGATTCACACTTCATCTCGGGTTAGCCCAGACTAAATCTCTACTGGACTTTGCACTAATTAATTATCAAAGTGACTTTTAAAAATAACTTCTGAAACATAAGTTATCAATCAATTATCACAATTATATTTGTATCCTGAAAACTAAAGTCAGCACTGACTTTCCAGTATGTTCATTTCATTTAAGTGAGATATGAATGTCCTCACTAATTCCATGAAGCCAGTGTTATCATGTTTCACCTTTCAGTGGGAATACGGTCGATGATCGACTATACGAAGACAAGTAAGTAAATCTGCAGTACGATATTATACAATTGTCCGTTTCTAAAGTTACTGTCAATAAATAATTTAATGCCTTCAGTACTTTTGTTTTGTTGCACCCGACTTTGTTCAAGCTTGCCCAATCGCTATATTGGCTTGAATAGATTTTCCTTTAGGTCTCACCAGTTCAATTGGGGAACGGTGAGAATAGAAGCAAACTCATGGTTCGTAAGAAGGTTTGTGTTACAGACTGCACCCGATGTATGGAGGTAGTTAGGCGTTTCCCTCGGACAGGTCACCGAATAGCACATCTCTTCGTAGTGTTGACGGTCAGTAACTGACAACCACTTCCCTATTTCTCAAAACGCTAGAGATCCTCTTGTTCATTATCGAATCCGTTCGTCGCTTTTGGATAGTTCTGATTATCTTATCTTAATGTGTTATTCAAATTTTCCGCGTAATTTCGTTTATTGGCTATGTGTTGGTCACGTTTGCTTTACTATTTTGGCAATCCGTATTAACCTCGTGAAGTATATATTGGGTGTTGAGTCATATTACCGTTAGTGGTTCTTACTACCTCTCACACTGTTATTCCTTCCGAAGGTTTCATAATAGGGTTTGGCAACTTAAACCGGTGAACAATGTTAATTATTACGTTGCATCTTATTGGCTGACTTCTGTTGTATTAGCCACTTAAAGTGAGCAATGTAACCAAAAATTCACCTGATAATTTCGTCATCTTCACTGTCGTATGAACAATGCACTGCTGTAATTATCCAATCAGGTTTAATTAAAGCTGCACCACAGTAGTGTTGTTCGGATCCTGTAACTAATGTTGACCACAATGTATGTCGTTTAGCTTGAATTGATGCTGCCCATGGATACGTACCACGTGGAACAGATTGTCCACCAATTATACGTTTGAAACGATTTAATCCTTAAAATGTCGGATTTTTTAAAACGTAAGAATTATAAATAGTTAGGTGCAAGCAGATATAAAGATACAAGTGTGAGTAATAAAATTACGAACAGTGACAGTATGTTCACATATTCTAAGACTTTACTGTTATACCCTAGTGAAGATTAAACTATCGGTAACTTCTGAGAACTATTGATTAAATTCTTGGATTAACACAGTATTCTAGTTTGAATCAATTTGAGTCAAATACGTAGCATTGGTGAAGAACAGTCTAAACGAGACCTAACATTGTAGAAAATTTATAGTTCAAACTCACGGTAAATTCATAGTATTCGCAGTTTGTGCACAATAATGCTCGTTTCACTGAAATTTTGATTTTTCATCAAATATAAATTTGTTGAACAAACATTTAGTTCCTCTGAACTGTGCAAAACGAAGTGAGGGAGTCTTTCTCAGGTTAAATTGAGCAGCTTAACGCTTTATTGGGTTTTTACAGATGATACACAAGTTAAGTTGTTACAAACATCCAGTTCACTTCACTGATTGAAGCTTGTAAATTTGTTTTACGGATACATTCATCATAACAGTATCATGTTATCCAACGATTTTATTTACCCTGAGTTACTTTCAATGTTTACAGTCCTGCTTATTTCCTTTTGTGCTTGAATACATCCTGCCGTCATTCATCGTATTAGTATTCTATGGTTATATTATTAAGATTATGGTCACGTTATGTATTTAAATATAATTCTGCGTCTTTTCACTCGTATTTTCTCTAGTAGAATTGAGTAAAACTCGTGAACAGAATTACAACAGATTTATTTACTAATATGTTGTCTTCTTGTTCATCTATTGATTCATGAAATTTTCTGAGATACTAAAGTAACATATTGTTTACATAGTTCTACTTAGTTTTCAATGACTGATAATATAGTACTGGATAATTCAAGATTATCAATTGCATATTACCACAAGATTTTACTGGAAATTCAGCAAGGTAGTTATTACTATTTTGAACAAACAAGCTGTTAGGAATAATCATCGGAATAGATAAGTCCCTTTTCATTTTCTGTGTTCGCTTTCTCAACTTTACTCAGTTTTTTCTCGTTTACACTGCTTAAATTACAAACAGTGACAGTATGTTCACATATTCCAAGACTTTACTGTTATACCCTAGTGAAGATTAAACTATGGGTAACTTCTGAGAACCATTAATGAACTAATACATATATTCTCATTGTCTAACTATTCAGTAACCATATATATATATTCTTATTACCAGCTTTATTTTGACTTATGGATTATTATTATTATTATTATTATACAAATTACTGTTCTTAAATTATGATCAGTTTATTGATTACAGTTTCCCACGTTCACAGCCTTTTTTTGACTTGATATTGTGTAAATGTTATTTCCTATTTTATGGTGTGAAGTGGTCTGTTTGGCTGGTATATAAACAAAGTATGTTTGAGATAAATTATTCGCATAGTGGAAGCTGTTATTGGCGTTCTGGACTCAACTGGAAGGCTAGGAGAATAAAGGACCAGTAAGGATGCTAGGCTGCTCATACCGGTCGAGTGTCATTGGTTTAGCACAGTACAATATTTAATAAGTCGTATTACGATTGGCGAGTAAATCACGTGATAACTAGCCGGGCTTCAAGTCACAAGAGTTACTAGTTAACAGAATTTTCCCCTCCAGATTCATATTATTAACGGCCTCTTTGTTAAATCTATTTTTCATATACGAAAAACAATACTTCAATGTCTATTGATTCGCTTTATTCAGAACTTTTAGCTATATCAGTTTTCATCAAACAAAGATGAAGCTTACAAAATAAAAAGGGAGAGTTCTATAGATTACTCAGTTTTAAAATTTGAGCCTTAAAATATACCGTATGTAGGAATGGCGATAAGCTGTGAATATGAAAAAAATTTATTACTGTGTATTGTATGATGTTTCCTGTCTACTAAACGAGTATGATCATCACAACACGAACCATATTAAGCGATGAGAGCATGACAACCGATTGTGAGTAGTTAAATCGAGTTCAGTACATGCACACATGCGACGGATCCATTAAACTAGCAATATATACTAATATTATGGTCAATTAGTTTGTAGTATCGAGCATGCTGTTATTTATTTAGTGAGTGCTGTATTTGTTATTTTAGCATATTTCATTTCAGGCCCTGTTTTTTCTCAGGATTTTCGATTGTGCTAGTCTGACGAGTTCTCAGCAAACAGAGGTGGATAAATACAGATCCCTAATAAAAGTTATGCTCTCATAGTGGCACTCGTTCGTCAGATGAACGGAAATGCATACACTTTTTGAGGATTAAGAAACGAATGGTTAACCTAACACACTTTTAGGTAAATAGCTGACGTGAAAATGACCATTAGCATACATGGAAATAAGTATTCTATTATTAGTCTCGTCGTGATGAAATGAGGCGGCTCTAATTAGTCATAAGCCTATTTTTGGTCTAGTAAATGATTCAATTTTTTCTTGAACTGTCACCAAATCCATTGTTCCCATTGTACTATTTTGTCACATACTGAGGAAAAGGAATTTAGAAAAGAGACTTGAATTGGAACGGCAACTTAAGATGTTAGATCTTCAAGAAGAGGTTGATATCGCCGAACTAGAATGCAAGGCCGTCGAGGACGAAGAACGATTACCTGTAGATAAATGTGAGATGAATGCTCAAGTGGAAAATTATTTGGATTGTGATACTGGGTGTAATAGTCACTCAGGGAACGTATGTAACATCTCAAAGGTCGATTGGGTTGGCGAACTGAAGGACACGTTACATACAATGGTTAGTAACATGGTTTTACCTAAGATCGATATGATGTATTTTGATGGGCAACCGGGTCAGTATTACCGTTTCATCAGTCAGTTTAATAGCCTTATACAGAGTAAACTGTCAGATAAGAGCCAATTGCTGTCGTATTTATTATATTATTGCAAAGGAAAGGCTAGAACAGCAATTGAATCTTGCGTTTCTTTGCCCAGTCATTTAGGCTATGATAGGGCTAAACGAATTTTATATGATTTATTTGGTAAAGAGCATCTTGTTGCACGAGAACTAATCACTGAGTTATTAAACCATAAATCTGTCGGAGGATCAGCTGACGTATTAACTGACTTTGCGATTAAGTTACGTAATGTATGTATAACGTTGAAGGAAATGGGATACATGTCTGACGTCAATTCTACGGCTAATTTGGAGATAATAGTTTCATGCCTACCACTAGAATTGCAGAATAAGTGGGTGGAAGTCGCCGATAAGATTATGATGCATGGGAAGGAGCCGAGCTTTGAAGAATTTGTGGTCTCCGTAGAAGAGAGGGCCAGAATTGCCCGAACCCGTTATGGTAGATTAGTACAGTGTAACTCAAGGTTCGGTAAAAGGAATTCTGAAGGCCAAGTGGATAGGAGATCACGCTTTCATGCAATTAGACGAGACCCAAATAACTCAGTCAAGGTACCACGTTGTGAAATCTGCGTAGGTGATCATGAGGCGACAGATTGTCCAAGGTTATCAAAAATGAATGTAAGAGAAAGGAGGCAGGAGGTAAGAAAACGTGGTCTATGTTACTTATGTTTGAGGAAAGGTCACATAGCTATGTCATGCAACTCAGGCTTCAAGTGCCACGTTGAGAATTGCAAGGCATAATTCATTATTGCATATTGATAGTATTGATAGCCATATGGTGAATTTAGCTAAGGATTGGAACTCCTCAAGGGTTTGTTTGGGTATTGTTCCAGTCAGACTGTACGGTCCCAAAGGATGTTTGGAAACATATGCACTTCTAGATAGTGGTTCGGACACTTCTCTTGTATGTGAAGAATTAATTAATCAGTTGGGTATTAAAGGCAAAGAGACTTCGATAAAGGTGGCGACTGTGAACGGGACTACCAATTGTGAATGTTTGGAGGTAAATTTAGAGGTATTTTCATTAAATGAACGGGGTTCTATAAAGATCAACAAAGTTTACACGACCAAGAAACTTCCGATCGATCATGCAGCACCTTTAAACGAACTCCAACTGAAGCGATGGAAACACCTAAGGGACATAACCCTCCCGAGGTTGCGAAGTAATTTTGTAGGAATATTGATTGGGTGTGATGCTCCGGATGCACATTGGGTCTTGGAATAACGTCTGGGGGACAGGAAGCATCCGTTTGCTGTGCGTACTCATCTCGGTTGGATGATTATAGGTCCTAAGGGAGTATCAAGGTCTCTACATCAAGTTCAATGGTGTCATTGTTCCGCTAATGATATTTTGCGAGATTTAGAAAGATTATATAATCATGAGTTCGAAGATACAGATACGTTTCGTAATGGATATTCTGTCGAGGATAAAAAGGCTCTAGAAATAGTTAGCAATTCGTTTAAATTGGAGGGTGGTCATTTCCAAGTTGGTCTACCATGGAAGTATGATAAGCCAAGGCTACCGAATAATTTGGAACTAGCTGAACGCAGACTAGAATGCTTAAGAAAGGTTTATGAAAGATAACAGTCTTTTGGAGAAATATCAAGTTGTGATGAATAAACATTTAAGTAAGGGCTACATCACTGAAGCTAGTAAAGAAGAATTTGACCATGATGCTGTTTGTTGGTATATTCCTCATCATCCTGTTATCAACCCTAAAAAGCCTGGAAAATTGAGAATTGTTTTTGATTGTGCGGCTGTCTATCAAGGTTGTTCTCTTAGTGACCAGCTTTTGAGAGGACCAAATACTGTAAATAGTTTAATTGGTGTACTTCTACGATTTAGATTAGGTAACGTAGCATTAGCTGCTGATATTGAAGATGTTTCTTCAAGTAAAGATCCCGAGACAAGACAGGGGAGCGTTTCGTCTATTGTGGTGGGAAGACGGTGATATAAGACGAAAGCCTAAGGAATATTGCTTAACAGTTCATCCGTTTGGAGTCGTGTCGTCCCCTTTTTGCGCTAATTTCGCTCTTAAGAAGACGGTAGATATATTCGGTAAGGAATTTAATGAAGATATCCAGGACGTCGTAGATAAGCGTTTCTATGTCGACGACTATTTAGCCTCCATTGACAACGTGCAGGATGCAATTGAGCTAGCAAAAGCCCTTGCTTTACTCCTCAGAAGAGGTGGGTTTAGACTTACGAAGTGGATAAGTAACTGTTTACAAGTTCTCGAATCAATTCATCCAGAGGAAAGAGCAGAAGCCGTAAGAGAGATTGACTTTGAAAGGCTTCCTACGGAACGCACATTGGGACTATTGTGGAATACTATGGTTGATTCGTTTGAATTTAAAGTTCGCATACCGAAACGTCCCCTCACTAGGCGAGGTATATTGTCGAGTGTAGCCTCACTTGCAAACTCCAATAAGCCCTAGAGGGGCTCCAGACGGAGTTCAAACAAATGTATGCTTTTATTTATTGCATCGAAATTAAACGTTGATAACTAAACATCGATCGATACAGTTGACCTTATTCGCAATTAACATTGTAATCAACAATAAGAAAAATTCGGACGTAAGCCTATTAATTAGCACTTAATACAACTAATATTACAATTACTTGCCAAAAATGGTTATTCTTGTGACGTTTAACTGTTTCAGGTTTGATATTAAAAATAAATATCCACATATTACGAAAATGTATATAGAATTTGCTATTATCCGTCTCTACAAACATGTCTAACATATGAAAACCAATAATGAATTTAAAAATGACTCAATACGTGATTCATAAATAACGTTTTGGTCTTACTGCTGAAAACATGAATGACTTCAGTCGAACGCAGAAACGTTGCGATCGTTGATCATTAATCCTAAGGATAAATTATTACATTTGACCAAGAAGAAGAGGAAACGACTAAATAAGAAGTTCGAAAATCGAACACCTTGTGAACACAGGCCACTCAATAGTAGTCACCTTGAAAATCAGTGGATACAAGAAACATTTTACGACATAGAATCTAGTTGGCTTTATTGACCTTATTGTATTTTCTCTGTTGATAAATATATGAATGCACGCTGATTGCAATATAGGGATGATAGCGACGACGTTAGAATGATTTTGTAGTTTGACATCACTTAACAGCCAATGAGAAACGAAGCAATCAACTTGTAAGAGAATAGCGTTCTTATGGAGTTTATCAGTTTCTCCGGACTTATTACCAGTTCTGAGGTGTTAATATCGGAAAAATGACGCTACAGAATCTCATTTTTCTGCATGCGGATACCAGTCACATCTAAGGTTTCGTTCTGATTCATTCCCGTAGCCATTATTAATCACATAAAAAGTCTTTATGAATAGGTCTGCTGAACAGCCGCCAACCCGAGCTTCCAATTTTGAGGAAACTCCCAAAGTCAAATGACCTTCACCAATGTTTGGGGAACTTTGGCGTCATTTTGTGCCATTTCCCCAAAATGTACTATAGCGACTTCCCCAAAATCTGCCAAATCCTCCCCAAAATTGTGACCTTGGGAAGATAAGACAACGATATTGGGAATTCAAACATGAACATCACAATCCATTTTCACATCCCCACTCTACAAGTTTACCTATTGTTCACTGAGCTTGCCGTGGATTAAGTGATCAAACACAAAAATTCGTTAGTTTGCGTGTTATATACAGTCTGCATAGAAAGTAAGGAAATGGACCGTCATCTGTAATGTCACTAAACAATCCCTACCACTATTTCCAGTAATATTTGGAAATGGGTTGTACGAAACTAATCAAAAACCCACTCTCTTGATCGTAATTACATCAGCAGCTTAATATAGTTTTACCACTTGGAAACCATATTTTCAACTGCCCTCCAGTTACTTGCTTATACATTCGCCCACTAGCTCACTTCATCTTTCGAAATGAGACAAGACAACTTCTTTCGTTATTCTAATGTATGCAAATTATCATTACAACTGTCTTTAAAAAAAACAACTTCATATATATAAGTTAGATAATCCGATGAGAAGACTATATGAACACGTGTTGTAAGCAATGAGTCAAATCACGCTCCGTCAGAAGAACATCACAATACGTATTAGACTCGAACCGATATCGTGAATTTGACGGTGAACTCCCTCTATGGCTCATCATCTTCACCGTGCACACTATCGCAATCCAAGATGGGGGTCATATTATTCCCATCTACCTATCTTACACGAAAAATGCAGGTTCAAGGGTGACAAAACCACGAATATCCTTGTGTGCAGTAACAGGCTAGGATTCCCGATTACCAGCCTCAATATTAGGTCCCAACCACTTGTGTCAGTCTTTGCTCAAAATGCAACAACTATTAACGCCCTCCCAACTGTGCACTCATATTGGTGAACACCCCCAAATGTTTGTGCACTATGTCCACCTCATTCGGTCTAGGTTGATCGTAGTAAACATGCACTGCCTCTCTCCCGTCACAACCAACATCCTTCAGCAGCATTTGCGCAATTATATAGCCTTCGGCCAATGGGTAAAACGATGGCACCCCACACTCGAGACCATCCATACTAGTACCGATTCGGTCGCCCGCATGCGCACTAACAACACAAACTCTTTGTCCCCACTACACAAAGCTCACACACAAGGTGTCACCACATAAACCACCATGTCAGCCAGGAAAACTACACACTAAGTACAAGGCAATTCGGGACAGAGAACCTCTCATCGGAATCCCAACTTACATTTAAAGAAAAAATGAAAACAAAATCAGAAATTGGTGGCCCTAAACAGGGCCGTGGAAGCGTTCTCTACACAAAAACTCCCGAAACAAATTATTTGGAACCACTGTACTTCGTCACTGCCTTCGTGCCTTCAGACACAGCGTGTTTTGCCAATTCACCTGGCAACAACAATCGGACTGCTGTCTGCACCTCCCGGCTCGAAATTGTCGACTTCTTGTTGTAGTGAGAGAGTCGGCTGGCTTCTGCCGCAATACGCTCAAAGATATCGTTCACAAACGAGTTCATGATCGACATTGCTTTCGACGAGATACCGGTGTCAGGATGAACTTGACGAAGAACCTTGTAGATGTATATAGCATAACTCTCTTTCCTCCTCCTCTTCTTCTTCTTATCAACCTTCGGTAGCTTAACCTTCGACGCTTTCTTAGCAGCTTTACCAGATACAACCTTAGGAGGCATCACTTTGTAGACGAACGCGTACGGCCACACAAATCTCCATCTTCATATTTATATTATATCGCTTTGTAATTTCTGTCTCTCATAGGTTATGGCTTTGTCAATAATTACCAAACGATGATTGGCTGACTTTCTCAAGGTTATATATCGACCTTGTACAAAGCATATGATTCTCATCCCTTCCAACTTGACCTATAAGAAATCGACGTTGTTTTATGTGACTTCGGGGTCGTAATCTTACGCTAATTGGTCTATCTTCTCTCCCCTCTTAAAACACCTAGTTATTAGTCGATAACGGACGTGGTGTATTTCAGCGGGGTTTTTTTATTCAGGTGGAAATTTATGCGCCGCAGCGTTGAGCTCGTTAATACCCGTAAATTATGAAACTACTAAGATGTACGATTACTTGTTTCCAGAAGTATCTTCACTGATCCTAATTCCATTCCAGAAAAAAGTTTTAAAGGTAATCAGTTATATTTTAAAAATTAAGTAACATGGACACAGTTAAGTTCCATCCAATCTAATCAGCTGGATACGATCCAGTGTTTGACTGACTGAAATACTTCCTATTCTGAAACAATTTATCGATCCGGTCATGTAATTAGTACATCAAGATTATCAGATACAAGGTATAGTTTCGGTCATGCAACTGTAAGACATACAACTTCCCACTTCATTTAAGCGTGGAGTCGCTCCACAATTCTTTATAAAGGATCTGCGGGACAAATGAGTCTGATCCATTTTACACTAATAATGTAATTATTTAAGTAATGACTAGCTTAAATTGTTGATTATTTATCAGAATTTGTCGTCTGAAATGAGTATTTTGCTTCGTCTCAATCCGGCTAATGAGATTTTACAAATTTCCATATTTAAAGATCTTTTCTGCTTGTCTCGTGAATACATCGACATTTCCACAAAATTGTCCTTGAAATGGAGTTTTCCTGAACAATTCTTAATAGGTACATACATTTGCCAAAAACTCCCCTCAACGAAATTTACCTTGAACCGGATTTGTTGGTCATACGACAACTTAATTACCCCAACTGGTTAATGAAGATGTTTACATCCAATTACTGTTGTAAGCATTATTATAACCTAGTGTTGCTAATGTTGCTCGAATGGTTTAATCCAAATGCGAAAAGAGCATGTACTGTTCAAATAGGTAAATCGAAGTAGCTAGACTTCTTGACTTGGTGCTAATCAGGACATTACAGAATACGTTTATGAGAAGCCAACTTGGTGTACATGTATGGACTTGTTTTCTGACCTGAAACTACAATTGTCTCTTCAATGAGTAACTTTACTTCGAGTTTTGGTCTGCAATTTATTATATTGTCGTGGTAATATACTTTTCCTTATGCAACTAATCAGGAAGTATTTCCTAAAATTTTACAGGCCAAATTTCGGTCGTTTGTGTCTATCGATTCACACTTCATCTCGGGTTAGCCCAGACTAAATCTCTACTGGACTTTGCACTAATTAATTATCAAAGTGACTTTTAAAAATAACTTCTGAAACATAAGTTATCAATCAATTATCACAATTATATTTGTATCCTGAAAACTAAAGTCAGCACTGACTTTCCAGTATGTTCATTTCATTTAAGTGAGATATGAATGTCCTCACTAATTCCATGAAGCCAGTGTTATCATGTTTCACCTTTCAGTGGGAATACGGTCGATGATCGACTATACGAAGACAAGTAAGTAAATCTGCAGTACGATATTATACAATTGTCCGTTTCTAAAGTTACTGTCAATAAATAATTTAATGCCTTCAGTACTTTTGTTTTGTTGCACCCGACTTTGTTCAAGCTTGCCCAATCGCTATATTGGCTTGAATAGATTTTCCTTTAGGTCTCACCAGTTCAATTGGGAAACGGTGAGAATAGAAGCAAACTCATGGTTCGTAAGAAGGTTTGTGTTACAGACTGCACCCGATGTATGGAGGTAGTTAGGCGTTTCCCTCGGACAGGTCACCGAATAGCACATCTCTTCGTAGTGTTGACGGTCAGTAACTGACAACCACTTCCCTATTTCTCAAAACGCTAGAGATCCTCTTGTTCATTATCGAATCCGTTCGTCGCTTTTGGATAGTTCTGATTATCTTATCTTAATGTGTTATTCAAATTTTCCGCGTAATTTCGTTTATTGGCTATGTGTTGGTCACGTTTGCTTTACTATTTTGGCAATCCGTATTAACCTCGTGAAGTATATATTGGGTGTTGAGTCATATTACCGTTAGTGGTTCTTACTACCTCTCACACTGTTATTCCTTCCGAAGGTTTCATAATAGGGTTTGGCAACTTAAGCCGGTGAACAATGTTAATTATTACGTTGCATCTTATTGGCTGACTTCTGTTGTATTAGCCACTTAAAGTGAGCAATGTAACCAAAAATTCACCTGATAATTTCGTCATCTTCTCCACTGTCGTATGAACAATGCGCTGCTGTAATTATCCAATCAGGTTTAATTAAAGCTGCACCACAGTAGTGTTGTTCGGATCCTGTAACTAATGTTGACCACAATGTATGTCGTTTAGCTTGAATTGATGCTGCCCATGGATACGTACCACGTGGAACAGATTGTCCACCAATTATACGTTTGAAACGATTTAATCCTTAAAATGTCGGATTTTTTAAAACGTAAGAATTATAAATAGTTAGGTGCAAGCAGATATAAAGATACAAGTGTGAGTAATAAAATTACGAACAGTGACAGTATGTTCACATATTCTAAGACTTTACTGTTATACCCTAGTGAAGATTAAACTATCGGTAACTTCTGAGAACTATTGATTAAATTCTTGGATTAACACAGTATTCTAGTTTGAATCAATTTGAGTCAAATACGTAGCATTGGTGAAGAACAGTCTAAACGAGACCTAACATTGTAGAAAATTTATAGTTCAAACTCACGGTAAATTCATAGTATTCGCAGTTTGTGCACAATAATGCTCGTTTCACTGAAATTTTGATTTTTCATCAAATATAAATTTGTTGAACAAACATTTAGTTCCTCTGAACTGTGCAAAACGAAGTGAGGGAGTCTTTCTCAGGTTAAATTGAGCAGCTTAACGCTTTATTGGGTTTTTACAGATGATACACAAGTTAAGTTGTTACAAACATCCAGTTCACTTCACTGATTGAAGCTTGTAAATTTGTTTTACGGATACATTCATCATAACAGTATCATGTTATCCAACGATTTTATTTACCCTGAGTTACTTTCAATGTTTACAGTCCTGCTTATTTCCTTTTGTGCTTGAATACATCCTGTCGTCATTCATCGTACTAGTATTCTATGGTTATATTATTAAGATTATGGTCACGTTATGTATTTAAATATAATTCTGCGTCTTTTCACTCGTATTTTCTCTAGTAGAATTGAGTAAAACTCGTGAACAGAATTACAACAGATTTATTTACTAATATGTTGTCTTCTTGTTCATCTATTGATTCATGAAATTTTCTGAGATACTAAAGTAACATATTGTTTACATAGTTCTACTTAGTTTTCAATGACTGATAATATAGTACTGGATAATTCAAGATTATCAATTGCATATTACCACAAGATTTTACTGGAAATTCAGCAAGGTAGTTATTACTATTTTGAACAAACAAGCTGTTAGGAATAATTATCGGAATAGATAAGTCCCTTTTCATTTTCTGTGTTCGCTTTCTCAACTTTACTCAGTTTTTTCTCGTTTACACTGCTTAAATTACAAACAGTGACAGTATGTTCACATATTCCAAGACTTTACTGTTATACCCTAGTGAAGATTAAACTATGGGTAACTTCTGAGAACTATTAATGGACTAATACATATATTCTCATTGTCTAACTATTCAGTAACCATATATATATATTCTTATTACCAGCTTTATTTTGACTTATGGATTATTATTATTATTATACAAATTACTGTTCTTAAATTATGATCAGTTTATTGATTACAGTTTCCCACGTTCACAGCCTTTTTTTGACTTGATATTGTGTAAATGTTATTTCCTATTTTATGGTGTGAAGTGGTCTGTTTGGCTGGTATATAAACAAAGTATGTTTGAGATAAATTATTCGCATAGTGGAAGCTGTTATTGGCGTTCTGGACTCAACTGGAAGGCTAGGAGAATAAAGGACCAGTAAGGATGCTAGGCTGCTCATACCGGTCGAGTGTCATTGGTTTAGCACAGTACAATATTTAATAAGTCGTATTACGATTGGCGAGTAAATCACGTGATAACTAGCCGGGCTTCAAGTCACAAGAGTTACTAGTTAACAGAATTTTCCCCTCCAGATTCATATTATTAACGGCCTCTTTGTTAAATCTATTTTCCATATACGAAAAACAATACTTCAATGTCTATTGATTCGCTTTATTCAGAACTTTTAGCTATATCAGTTTTCATCAAACAAAGATGAAGCTTACAAAATAAAAAGGGAGAGTTCTATAGATTACTCAGTTTTAAAATTTGAGCCTTAAAATATACCGTATGTAGGAATGGCGATAAGCTGTGAATATGAAAAAAATTTATTACTGTGTATTGTATGATGTTTCCTGTCTACTAAACGAGTATGATCATCACAACACGAACCATATTAAGCGATGAGAGCATGACAACCGATTGTGAGTAGTTAAATCGAGTTCAGTACATGCACACATGCGACGGATCCATTAAACTAGCAATATATACTAATATTATGGTCAATTAGTTTGTAGTATCGAGCATGCTGTTATTTATTTAGTGAGTGCTGTATTTGTTATTTTAGCATATTTCATTTCAGGCCCTGTTTTTTCTCAGGATTTTCGATTGTGCTAGTCTGACGAGTTCTCAGCAAACAGAGGTGGATAAATACAGATCCCTAATAAAAGTTATGCTCTCATAGTGGCACTCGTTCGTCAGATGAACGGAAATGCATACACTTTTTGAGGATTAAGAAACGAATGGTTAACCTAACACACTTTTAGGTAAATAGCTGACGTGAAAATGACCATTAGCATACATGGAAATAAGTATTCTATTATTAGTCTCGTCGTGATGAAATGAGGCGGCTCTAATTAGTCATAAGCCTATTTTTGGTCTAGTAAATGATTCAATTTTTTCTTGAACTGTCACCAAATCCATTGTTCCCATTGTACTATTTTGTCACATACTGAGGAAAAGGAATTTAGAAAAGAGACTTGAATTGGAACGGCAACTTAAGATGTTAGATCTTCAAGAAGAGGTTGATATCGCCGAACTAGAATGCAAGGCCGTCGAGGACGAAGAACGATTACCTGTAGATAAATGTGAGATGAATGCTCAAGTGGAAAATTATTTGGATTGTGATACTGGGTGTAATAGTCACTCAGGGAACGTATGTAACATCTCAAAGGTCGATTGGGTTGGCGAACTGAAGGACACGTTACATACAATGGTTAGTAACATGGTTTTACCTAAGATCGATATGATGTATTTTGATGGGCAACCGGGTCAGTATTACCGTTTCATCAGTCAGTTTAATAGCCTTATACAGAGTAAACTGTCAGATAAGAGCCAATTGCTGTCGTATTTATTATATTATTGCAAAGGAAAGGCTAGAACAGCAATTGAATCTTGCGTTTCTTTGCCCAGTCATTTAGGCTATGATAGGGCTAAACGAATTTTATATGATTTATTTGGTAAAGAGCATCTTGTTGCACGAGAACTAATCACTGAGTTATTAAACCATAAATCTGTCGGAGGATCAGCTGACGTATTAACTGACTTTGCGATTAAGTTACGTAATGTATGTATAACGTTGAAGGAAATGGGATACATGTCTGACGTCAATTCTACGGCTAATTTGGAGATAATAGTTTCATGCCTACCACTAGAATTGCAGAATAAGTGGGTGGAAGTCGCCGATAAGATTATGATGCATGGGAAGGAGCCGAGCTTTGAAGAATTTGTGGTCTCCGTAGAAGAGAGGGCCAGAATTGCCCGAACCCGTTATGGTAGATTAGTACAGTGTAACTCAAGGTTCGGTAAAAGGAATTCTGAAGGCCAAGTGGATAGGAGATCACGCTTTCATGCAATTAGACGAGACCCAAATAACTCAGTCAAGGTACCACGTTGTGAAATCTGCGTAGGTGATCATGAGGCGACAGATTGTCCAAGGTTATCAAAAATGAATGTAAGAGAAAGGAGGCAGGAGGTAAGAAAACGTGGTCTATGTTACCTATGTTTGAGGAAAGGTCACATAGCTATGTCATGCAACTCAGGCTTCAAGTGCCACGTTGAGAATTGCAAGGCATAATTCATTATTGCATATTGATAGTATTGATAGCCATATGGTGAATTTAGCTAAGGATTGGAACTCCTCAAGGGTTTGTTTGGGTATTGTTCCAGTCAGACTGTACGGTCCCAAAGGATGTTTGGAAACATATGCACTTCTAGATAGTGGTTCGGACACTTCTCTTGTATGTGAAGAATTAATTAATCAGTTGGGTATTAAAGGCAAAGAGACTTCGATAAAGGTGGCGACTGTGAACGGGACTACCAATTGTGAATGTTTGGAGGTAAATTTAGAGGTATTTTCATTAAATGAACGGGGTTCTATAAAGATCAACAAAGTTTACACGACCAAGAAACTTCCGATCGATCATGCAGCACCTTTAAACGAACTCCAACTGAAGCGATGGAAACACCTAAGGGACATAACCCTCCCGAGGTTGCGAAGTAATTTTGTAGGAATATTGATTGGGTGTGATGCTCCGGATGCACATTGGGTCTTGGAATAACGTCTGGGGGACAGGAAGCATCCGTTTGCTGTGCGTACTCATCTCGGTTGGATGATTATAGGTCCAAAGGGAGTATCAAGGTCTCTACATCAAGTTCAATGGTGTCATTGTTCCGCTAATGATATTTTGCGAGATTTAGAAAGATTATATAATCATGAGTTCGAAGATACAGATACGTTTCGTAATGGATATTCTGTCGAGGATAAAAAGGCTCTAGAAATAGTTAGCAATTCGTTTAAATTGGAGGGTGGTCATTTCCAAGTTGGTCTACCATGGAAGTATGATAAGCCAAGGCTACCGAATAATTTGGAACTAGCTGAACGCAGACTAGAATGCTTAAGAAAGGTTTATGAAAGATAACAGTCTTTTGGAGAAATATCAAGTTGTGATGAATAAACATTTAAGTAAGGGCTACATCACTGAAGCTAGTAAAGAAGAATTTGACCATGATGCTGTTTGTTGGTATATTCCTCATCATCCTGTTATCAACCCTAAAAAGCCTGGAAAATTGAGAATTGTTTTTGATTGTGCGGCTGTCTATCAAGGTTGTTCTCTTAGTGACCAGCTTTTGAGAGGACCAAATACTGTAAATAGTTTAATTGGTGTACTTCTACGATTTAGATTAGGTAACGTAGCATTAGCTGCTGATATTGAAGATGTTTCTTCAAGTAAAGATCCCGAGACAAGACAGGGGAGCGTTTCGTCTATTGTGGTGGGAAGACGGTGATATAAGACGAAAGCCTAAGGAATATTGCTTAACAGTTCATCCGTTTGGAGTCGTGTCGTCCCCTTTTTGCGCTAATTTCGCTCTTAAGAAGACGGTAGATATATTCGGTAAGGAATTTAATGAAGATATCCAGGACGTCGTAGATAAGCGTTTCTATGTCGACGACTATTTAGCCTCCATTGACAACGTGCAGGATGCAATTGAGCTAGCAAAAGCCCTTGCTTTACTCCTCAGAAGAGGTGGGTTTAGACTTACGAAGTGGATAAGTAACTGTTTACAAGTTCTCGAATCAATTCATCCAGAGGAAAGAGCAGAAGCCGTAAGAGAGATTGACTTTGAAAGGCTTCCTACGGAACGCACATTGGGACTATTGTGGAATACTATGGTTGATTCGTTTGAATTTAAAGTTCGCATACCGAAACGTCCCCTCACTAGGCGAGGTATATTGTCGAGTGTAGCCTCACTTTACGATCCCTTGGGATTGTTAGCACCGTTTATACTTCCAATGAAGCAGTTACTCCAACGTTTAGGTAAATTGGGACTAGCATGGGACGAAGAGATTCCAAATGAGGAAAGCAGACATTGGTTACGGATTTTAAGTGAATTTCAGGGGGTTGAGAACGTTAGTTTTCCACGTTGCTTATTGCCTATGCAGTCAGATCGCTCGCTCCTGGAACTTCACATTTTCAGCGATGCCTCGGAAACTGGATATGGTGCAGTGGCATACGTCCGCTCTCACATCCATGACACTGAAGTATGTTCTCGTCTTATTATGGCTAAGGCAAGAGTTCAAACTATACCGCGTTTGGAACTTACGGCTGCAGTGTTAGCAGCTCGCATGGGGTCCCAGCTGCAGTTCGAGTTAGATTTTAAGTTTGCAGAGGTTAGATTTTGGACGGATTATATGATTGTCTTACATTATATTAGAAATGAGAAAAGCCAGTTTAAAACATTCATAGCAAACCGAAATTTCGACCATTCATAGTCTTACTAAAGTGGACCAATGGAGATTCGTACCCTCTAATGAAAACATAGCAGACTTCACATCCAGAGGGGTCAAGTTCAACATCAATGACGTCAAGTTATGGGAGGAGGGTCCGCATTTTCTGAGGAAGCCAAAGGACTGTTGGCCTGCTGCTGATATACGAGGTCCTGATCCCCATCTCTTGGAATTAAAGAAAGCTATGTCCACGCATGTATTAATTGAAGAATCCTCCGTCGATTTACTTATTAATTACTATTCAGATTGGACTAAATTACTTAAGGCTGTTGCATGGTTAACCCGATTCAAGCGATATCTATTGATCATGCGCTCTGGTAGAACAGATCTGTCTCTACAGGTGGGTATGCTCAGAGTTGATGAATTAAATTTAGCCTGTTTATATTTAATTCGATATGTCCAACGCAGAGTATTTCGGAAAGAGATTGAAATATTGTCGTCTGATACCATTAGCAAGGCGAAAATAAAAAATTCACCGTTACGGATCTTAAATCCAATGATGTTAAACGGATTATTATGTGTTGGTGGCCGACTTCAAATTAGTTCCTGGCCCGAGTCGAGGAAGCATCCTATAATATTACCATCAAAGCATAGAATTACAAATTTAATTCTACAGTATTATCATATTTTGGAAGGGCATGTTGGAGCCACACAGGTAATGGCAACAGTTCGAGAAAAATTTTGGGTGCTGAGGGGTGGTGTGACCATGAGGAGAGTGATTAAGGATCGTGTTTATTGTAAAAGGAGGAACGCCTGCCCCATCCAACAACTGATGGCACCACTACCTCCGAGCAGAATAGAAGATGGTGAGTATCCATTCTTATCAGTTGGTGTAGATTATTTTGGACCCATTATGGTTAAACATGGTAGATGTACCGAGAAGAGATATGGTTGTGTGTTCACATGTTTAAGGTTGAGAGCTGTGCATCTGGAAGTTGCATATAGTTTTACCACAGACTCATTTATCATGGCATTGATGAGGTTTATCGGCAGGAGAGGTTATCCAAAAGAGATATACAGTGATAATGGATCAAATCTGGTGGGGGCTGAACGTGAGCTAAGAAAATGTCTTCAGGATTGGGTGCAGGAGCGTATACACTCTGATTTGCTAAGAAAAGGGATTGACTGGCATTTCAGTCCTCCGGCTGCTAGTCATTGGGGAGGAGTTTGGGAGCGCATGATTCGCTCTGTACGTAGAGTATTGGGTGCTCTTGTAAAGGAACAATCTTTAACAGATGAATGCTTTGAAACGTTCATGATAGAGGCTGAGCGTATAATTAACAATAGACCTTTGGTTCCGGTTACGGACGACTCTAATGATCTCGATGCAATAATACCAGCGAAACTATTACTATTGAGAGAGAACGTCGCCGAACTCACTAACGTCCTATCTAATGACAGGTATTCTAAGAGATGGAAGCAAGCGAATTACTTGGCACAAGTATTTTGGAGACGTTGGTCTAAGGAATATGTTTCGTTGTTACAGCGTAGATACAAGTGGACCCAACTAGAGAGGAACATACGAGAGGGTGACTTAGTAATGATATGTTCCGAGTTCTCCGAGAAAAACAAATGGCCCTTGGGTCTAGTGCAGAGAGTGTTACCAAGTAAGGATAGATTAGTGAGGCAGGTAGAATTAAGGACAAAAAAGGGGATCCTTGTGAGAGATATTAGAAAACTGTGTCTTCTTGAAGCCGTAGATGGTAGGTAGCTACTCGGGTCCCTAGGCGTACTGGTGTAAGTCCTAGGGATCACGAAATTGTTGGTATATTGAGTGTTTGTTGTTGATTGTTTGTGATGCATATATTTGGATTCTTGTTGCTTATTTGTTTGTCTGTGAAAAGAACGAAGGTTCTTTTGGTCGGGAGTGTTACGGGAGAACTGAAGACATTTGGCAAATTAAAACCTTTTTATTGTACATTAATAATTTACTGTGTTTTTGGATGTAATTGTTTTACTTAACTTTGAACTTGTTTGTTTATATCATTATTTCGGACATTTTGGTTTGTCCTTGGTTTGGTATTTTGGTGTTCTCTCTATCTTTGGTTTGGTATTTGGGAGTTTTGCTCCGGGAACCTACAAAATTGAAGGTTTGTTTTGTAATTATTATAATTATTGTTGTTAGAACGACATTTGGTCGATTATTTGTGAATTACGAATAAATTTGGTATCCAAATTGGAGTTTGGTTCTGTTATTAATTTGGGTTCGTAATTTGCAAGTAGATCGATAGTCCGTACTTCAATAACTAGAACGAGCAAAACTTGGACGTAACATAAAGTTCTTCAATTATTGGTTCTGTGTTTATACCTTGGATTGCCTGGATATTTGGATTCAATTTCCTGCTCCTATTGGTCTGTTTCGTGTGGATTAACTCATAATTGTTCTGGTAATCGATTTCTTTGGAACAATCAATACGATGGGAACGCGGAGCAAAATTTCGAAGACACTTATGATCAAATACTAGTAACCTACGGATATCCTCTACTCTTACCGGCCATGTTTCACTTCCATAAAGGAGGACGGAACGAACTGCTGCGATGTAAACACGTCCTTTGGTTGATAGACGGATATCTCAATTACGTCATAAATGACCCAAATTGGTAAAAGTTGGTCGAGCCTTCTGTATCCGTGCTGAGATTTCGTCACACACCAGACCACAAGGGCTGATGAGACTTCCAAGATAAGTGAAGCGATCGACACGCTCAATTACTTCTCTCCCTATCATTAGTTCGGGTGTCGATGCAAGCCAATCCTGAAGCAACATTTTGCATTTAGACGGGAGAATCGCATCCCGAACATGCTTGCATTGTTGCTCAGAGTGGTCAGAAGACTCTGCATTTTGTCAGCGTCTTCACCAAATAAAACTATGTCATCTGCATATTCTAAGTGAACCTCCCGGTAGAAGTTCAACCTCATCTACTTATATTATGATGGAATTAATATATTTATATCGTGAATTGATTGGATTTGGAAACATGTAGACTTGCTTCTCAACAAAGTAGACTTTAAGTTACAGAGATATATTCCAACCTGGTTTTACAAGAATGGGATGAAAGGAATTAGGAATTCTGCTCTTAAACATTTATTTAACTGTGATTGCTCGACTAGCTTGCATGTTGATTTGAAGTATATACACGTTTACTTGCAATATTAGATGAGACAAATACCGATCTTTTCATACGAGGACATTTTCTGTACTTGCAATTAACCTATTATTATTATTATTATTATTATTATTATTATTACTATTATTATTATTATTATTATTATTATTATTATTATTATTATTATTATTATTATTATTATTATTATTATTATTATTATTGATGCATTTCAAACTAGGTCGACCAACTATATACCTGTCCCCTCCGGTATAGTACTGGTTATGGAAATACGTATAATGAAATACACCGATCAGTAAAAAAACCCCAAACTAAAGTAAAATTCCTTTTCGCTTTGAAAATACATAGAACTTCAGAGAGTATTGGGTACTGTATTATTGATTATTTGTCAACGAGTCGTCAGTGGACTTTTCAATACCTGAACTTTTTGAATAGATTATCTAGTCTGTAGTCTTAACTGAGCCACATCATGGATATCGATACAAAAATGTAAAACAAGATATATTATAGTATTCTGTCCTAGCCATCGTGAAACAGGTGAAATCTAAGTAAATTATGTTATAACTGTCCTCGGAAAATTCACTCAGCGTTTCAGTGTCCCATCCAGCATTATTCTGAATTCGCTTGTTTAACTACTTAGAAATTAAAAGTAGACTGTTATTTTTAACATCAAAACCCGAGTGGATGTGGTCAACCACACTGTAGTACAGTTGTAAATAATGAAATGAAACGATTATATAAGTGGGTGGGACTTTAAATTATGGACGACCTACTAGGCTATTCTGGTCCGTTGTCCCTGACTCAGCTAACGCGATCAAGAAGTCTTGGTAAGGCATAGAAAGTTTATTCTACAGGCAACCAGTACATACCAGGTCAGGTCAATCAGGCACACAAGTCAAGCGTATTTATACAAGTATTTATAATCGATATTGTCATGGTAAAATGTTTTTAAACATTAACTAATAAGTTCATCAATCGAGAGCCATTCAAATATTTAATCGATAAGTTAATCCATACGAGGCCGATGCCCCTTCCAACAACCAGAGCAATAAGTTTTGTAGGTACATGGAACGTCCGAACAATGTGGGAGACCGGTAAGACCAGTCAAATAGCAACGGAAATGAGGAGATACAACTTAGCAGTACTGAGAATCAGCGAGACCCACTGGACCCAAGCTGGACAGAAAAGGCTAGCTACGGGAGAGATGCTGCTATACTCCGGTCACGAAGAGGAAAATGCTCCACACACTCAGAGAGTTGCTCTAATGCTGTCCAAAGTACTACGAAATGCACTTGTAGGATGGGAATCTCACGGATCCAGAATCATCAAAGCATCATTCAAAACAAAGAAGGAGGGGATCTTAATGAATATTATCCAATGTTATGCACCCACCAATGACAGCAACGACGACATTAAAGATGAATTCTACGAGCGGCTGCAGTCAGTCATTGAGAAATGCCCAAGGAAGGACCTCACCATTCTAATGGGAGATCTAAATGCCAAAGTCGAAATAGACAACACTGGATATGAAGATATTATGGGACGACATGGACTGGGAGAGAGAAACGAAAATGGAGAAAGATTTGCAAATCTATGTGCATTCAACAAATTGGTCATAGGGGGCACAATATTTCCACACAAGCGTATACACAAGGCTACATGGCTCTCACCGGACCACACTACAGAGAACCAAATAGATCATATTTGCATCAACAAAAAATTCCGAAGGACAATGGAAGATGTGAGAACCAGGAGAGGTGCTGACGTGGCTTCAGATCACCACCTAGTTGTAGCCAATTTAAAACTGAAGCTAAAAAGGAACTGGACAGCACTACAAAGGTTCAATACAGCCTTCCTTCGAGATACTGACAAACTCAATGAATTCAAGATAGCTCTCAACAACAGGTTCCAAGCCTTAAAAGATATACTGAAAAAAGAAGAAACTAGTATGGAGGCAACTGGAAAGGCATCAAGGAAGCATTAATTTCAACGTGTCAAGAGGTTCTCGGTCTAAAGAAATACCATCATAAGGAATGGATCTCTACAGAAACACTGGACAAGATCAAAGAAAGGAAGAACAAGAAGGCAGAAATGAACAACAGCCGAACACGAGCAGAGAAAGTCCAAGCACAAGCTGAATACATAGAAGCAAACAAACAAGTGAAGAGGAGCATTAGAGCCGACAAGAAGAAATACGTGGAGGAACTAGCAACGACGGCAGAAAAAGCTGCTAGAGAAGGAAATATGAAACAGCTTCACGATACAACGAAGAAACTAGCAGGGAAATACAGTAAACCAGAGAGGCCGGTCAAAGACAAAGAAGGCAAGTCAATCACCGAAATTCAACAACAGCGGAATAGATGGGTAGACTACTTCGAGGAACTCCTGAATAGGCCGGTTCCAACGGGTCCACCGGACATCGAAGCAGCACACATAGATCTTCCTATAGATGTCAATCCACCAACGAAGGAAGAAATTAGAATGGCCGTCAGACAAATCAAGAACGGGAAAGCAGCAGGACCCGACAACATACCAGCTGAAGCACTGAAATCAGACATCGAAGTAACTACAAACATGCTTCACCTTCTATTCAAAAAGATTTGGGAGGAGGAACAAGTGCCGGTGGACTGGAAAGAAGGGCACCTCGTCAAGATTCCAAAGAAAGGAGATCTGAGCAAATGTGAAAACTACAGAGGCATTACACTACTGTCAATACCAGGGAAAGTCCTCAACAGAGTGTTGCTGAACCGGATGAAGGATGCAGTAGACGCCCAACTTCGAGATCAACAAGCTGGATTCCGTAAGGATCGATCGTGCACAGACCAAATCGCAACACTACGGATCATCGTCGAACAATCAGTTGAGTGGAACTCATCACTATACATCAACTTCATTGATCATGAAAAAGCATTCGACAGTGTAGATAAGAGGACATTATGGAAACTTCTTTGACACCACGGAGTTCCTGAGAAAATTGTCAATATTATCCGGAACTCATATGACGGACTACAATGCAAACTAGTGCATGGAGGACAGCTGACAGATGCATTCCAAGTAAGGACCGGAGTCAAACAAGGCTGTTTACTCTCTCCCTTCCTCTTTCTTCTGGTGGTCGACTGGATTATGAAGACATCGACATCTGAAGGAAAACACGGAATACAATGGACAGCTCAGAATCAATTATACGATTTGGACTTCGCAGATGACCTAGCCCTCCTATCGCATACACACGAACAGATGCAGACAAAGACAGCCAGTGTAGCAGCAGTCTCTGAATCAGTAGGCCTTAGCATACACAAAGGGAAAACCAAGGTCCTGAAATCCAAAGCGGAGAACAGCAATCCAACCACTCTTGATGGCGGAACTCTGGAAGATGTAGAATCCTTCACATACCTGGAAAGCATCATCGATGAACAAGGAGGTTCAGATGCAGACGTAAAGGCAAGAATTGGCAAAGCAAGGATCGCATTCCTACAATTGAAGAACATATGGAACTCAAAACAACTTTCAACCAATATCAAAGTGAGAATCTTCAATACCAACGTCAAGGCAGTTCTACTGTATGGAGCTGAAACTTGGAGAACTACAACAACCACAATCAAGAAAGTACAAGTGTTTATAAATGGTTGTCTATGCAAGATACTCGACATCCATTAACCTGATACCTTCAGCAATAGCCTTCTGTGGGAGAGAACAAACCAACTTCCAGCTGAAGAAGAGATTAGGAAAAGACGATGGAAATGGATAGGACATGCATTACGCAAATTGTCAAACTGCATCACGAGGCGAGCCCTAACTTGGAATCCTGAAGGGAAGCGGAAAAGAGGAAGGCCAAAGAACACATTGCGTCGGATTATAGAAGCAGATATGAAAAGGATGAATTACAACTGGACGGAGCTAGAAAGGATTGCCCAGGACAGGGTTGGATGGAGAATGCTGGTGAGCGGCCTATGCTCCTTCACGAGGAGTAACAGGTGTAAGTAAGTAAGTAATGATAAAATTACAAAATATGGGTTTTGGGGATCTATAGTCCCCAACAGATATATAGAGAAAAAGTTGTGATCTATGTATTATTCACCTGTTTCATATCGTACATTCTCTTTAACTTGGTTTTGTAACGTGTATAAGTTATTTCTTAAAATATTAGACAGTCAAAGCCAAATATTCTGGAACAATTATAACACATTATTGACAATATACAAAAGTGTTTGAGGATACTTAAGAAAAATATATAATCAGATGTGAAAGCGCAGATCGGTAAAGCAAGAGCAGCATATTTATAACTGAAGAACATTTGGAACTCAAAGCAACTGTCAACCAACACCAAGGTCAGGATTTTCAATACAAATGTCAAGATAGTTCTAATGTATGGGGCAAAAACCTGGAGAACTACGGAAGCCATCATCCAGAAGATACAGGTGTTTATTAACGGTTGTCTACTTAAGATACTTCGGATCCGTTGGCCGGACATTGTTAGCAACAACCTACTGTGGAAGAGAACAAACCAGATCCCAGCGAAGGAAGAAATCAGGAAGAAGTGCTGGAAGTGGATAGAACCACATTGAGGAAAGCACCCAACTGCGTCACAAGACAAGCCCTCACATGGAATCCTCAAGGCCAAAGGAAAAGAGGGAGACCAAAGAACACATTACGCCGGGAAGCTGAGATAGACATGAGAAAAATGAACAAGAATTGAATGGAATTAGAAAGGAAGGCCTAGGACAGAGTGGGTTGGAGAATGCTGGTCGGCGGCCTATGCTCCATTAGGAGTAACAGGCGAAAGTAAGTAAGTAAGTAACTCGACTTCAATTATTACACTACGTAATTACTGTAACCAACATTCTAATTCTAACTTGATTGACACTTTTTTTGAAATATTATGTAGGGAGATAACAAGACTGGTCACTTGTATGTTTATGTGTGTATGTGAATGAATTGACTCTTCCGATAGATGTCTAATCAATAATCAAATGTTGCAAGTTACAATACTGATGAAATTTTTTTCAATGAAAAATATTTCTTGATTTAGAAGTTAATATTTCTACATACGTGGTTGCAACAAAATATCAAATGGTTATAGCAGTATAAAGCTAGCTATGAAATAAATACTTCTGTATGGAGAACATTTTTAAGATTATTAAGACTGGGTAAAGACCTAAAAAGTTTGTAAAGAGCTGTCAGTATGTATCTTTAAAGAATATAACGATACAATGAAATAACTATCCAGTGCTCACCAATTTTTGATAGTCTTCTAGTTAATTTCAGTCCATGATAGAAGCTATGGGGAAACGTAGCGGCTCCCGAAAGCTCAGTGGTAACAATCTATGTTCGGATCTCTAAATGGAAGTATCAGACCCCTAAATATTCGAAGTTTGCTTTTCTGACAAATGTCAAATAACACGAAACCTAGGTCCAAAGTTTCTTGTCGGTATTAGGAATCCAAGTGCTAGCGAAACTATCTCAGAGAAAGATGGACATATTATACATTCTCAATCCAGGAGATTGGATCGATGGGCAGAACACTTTAGGAATCAGCTCAACTTGCCTTCAGCCACACTTCGGTCTCTCACGATCTTCAGTCGACCTGAATGGCAAGCTAATGTAAGTCCTCCAACTCCATGAGGTTGAAAAAGCTATAGGAAATCTGAAGTGTAGGAGAGCAGCAATCCCTGACAGGTTTACTCCTGAGAGTTTTAAGGATGGCGGTCCAGTATTAGCAGCGAGACTAACTGAGGTCTTAGGTAGAATCTGGGAACTGGATGCAGTCCCGTCTGATTGATCTCAATCACTGATTGTGCCAGTCTATAAGAAAGGACAAAAGTCCTCTTATGACAATCGCAGAGGAATCAGTTTGACTAATATAGTGTCTAAAATATTAGCTTCAATAATACTTCGACGCTAAACTAAAGTTCGTGAAGAGCAGACTAGAGGAAATCGGGCCGGTTTTCGACCTGGACGTGGTTGTAGAGACCAGATATTCACATTTCGTCAGGTCCTAAAACACAGACACATATCCAGACGCCCCACAATCGTAGTGTTTCTTGACCTTAAGGCAGCATTCGACTCTGTTGATCGTGAGGTTCTATGGTAGTGTTTGTCACTGAAAGGAGTACCAAAGAAGTACATTAACTTTGTAAAGGCTCTCTACTTGAACACAACTGGTCGAGTGAGAGCTTATGGTGAACTGTCATCAGAATTGATTACCTCAAGTGGTGTTCGTCAAGGCTGTCCACTCTCTCCATTCTTGCTCAACTTCGTCGTACGTACTTTTAGAGATAACACTTTCCTCATCTAAATTTCCAGGAGTTGAAATTCTACCAGGAGATTCACTTGTTGACACGTGTTATGTGTTACCAACGACCGACTGCCCCGCCGAGCGATGTTTTATGTAGTAGGAGTAGGTTGGAAGAAAGCTAGGGGCGGCCAGAACAAAACATGGATCAAATACATGAAGTCACTGACAAGTGGACTGAGTGATGTTGATAGGTGTAGAATAGTTGGTGGGGATCCGCGAGATGATAGCAACCGATGGTTAGAAACCTTTAATGACATGTCTCAAAATCATTTGCAGTGGCGCAGGTGCATCCACTCTTTATGTTCTCCTAAGCTCTAATCTCCTGAAATTTCCTTGTCTCTTTTTTCTCTTTCCAAATTTATTTCACTGGATTATACTCCCTGAATAACATCTTTAAACTCTTTCCGATTACTGCTTATACTCTTACTACCTCTACCACTACGGGATTTGAATCCACAACTCCATCTCTGCATGGCAACTCAAACTGATGTACGTACGTACAAAGTTCTACGTTGTTACTGAATGACTGACTGACTGCATTTCAAAATGGTGCATGTAATTTTGAGTCACTTATAGTGTCGGCTAAATTGCAACCTAATTGATAGTATTTACTGAGCAATGAGGACTGAACAAAAGTGATGCTGATCACCTAGTAATCAATGCCCAATCAATTGTATTTGCGAAATACCTATATAAACATATTTCATGCTAAGCAAGGATAATAACGTTTGCAGAAAGCGACCAGTTCATTGTGTCCCATTGGAATTAGATTAAAATTATTCCCCGATTCCAACCTAATCTTGATGTAGGAAGTAAGATGTTCAATTTTACTCTGGTATTAATCATCTATTGTTATTACTTTGTTTATTTATTCATAATTATTAATTAGCTATCATTACATTTGATTATTTTTTTTATTGGTTGTATAGATCTTCCAGTCGACGTTTAAGACTACAATTGATCAGTCTCTTACTGGCATATATGCATCCTGTGATGATTGCCTCGATATGGCTTTAAGTCACCAGCATTATAAGCAGAGATGTACGGTGGCTAGCAGTGGAATCTAGGACGCGCGTTAAGTTCTATTTTGGATTCATTAGCTGCATAACAAAGTTAGTGTTCACTGCTAGATTCGAACCCATCGCCGTTCGCTTCAGACGCCATCGCGTTATCCTTTAGTGGCCATGGAATATCTGACTCCAATTTGATCGTGTGATTATCGTTACCGACTTATACTTTTTGTCAATCCTTATACATAAATATCAACTCGCGTTAGTGAATAACGGAATTCATTTAGTCAAACACGAGAATGAGTTTCGATTACATGTATTGCATACAATCATTGGTCCAGACAAACGAAGCGAAGAGAAGAAAGTGAAGCGAAATGGATTGGAGAAGGCATGTGAGCCTACTCGATTTAACCAAGCGTGAATCGATATTTATATTCAGACAAAAATAAGTTAAATACATGTTATGGATAGGGTAAGCAATACACGCACACATGATCATATAAAAACAGTCAGGATTAATAAGAGAATACGTGACAAGGTCAAAATGTGGCTTGAGAAGAATGAATGAATTGGTCTGTCTAGAAGGCAGAATAATCTGTATGGGCTTGACATAATCCCAGCCACTACAATCTACTTATCCTTAAGTGAACATCAACTTTGGGATGCAGGTAAATCCACCTGATGAGTCCTAAATTTGATTTTACTGCTAGTCACCATCCATCTCTATCCAATTATTTCGTTCTTCATGAAATGAGTGAGACAGTTATCCATTTCACGTAATGGATTAGGGTTGCGCAATATTTTGAATTCATTGGAACTAGACATTAACACTATCGGACACCAGCAGTAGTCTAAGGGCTAACCGTTCGCGAGCGAGACCAGAAGTCCAGAGCTCGGCCCATGGATATGGGTTCGCGGATGCACACCTCTAATAAGTCCCATACTGGGACTAGACAGCCGTCTAATTCTTCCAGGTTTCCAATGATGGTCTAGTTAACGTGAGTCTGTGATTTAAAGCTGTGAAATAGGATAATTGTCCCTCGTCTACAAATCATTATGTAACTTTTTTCATTAACCGTTAGATCACTATGTAGCTTTTCTTCTATATTTGATATTTACAGACAATCTATTCACAGTCTCCAAATATTCTTCAATTTGACAAATATCTTCCATTTGTAACTTATTTAGTCATTTAAATAATACATTTTCGATACTTGAAAACCTTACCTTTTACTTGATGCGGTATTCTATTTTTCATGGACTTTAGTGAATAATATCATCGATGAAGGAAAATTCTCTTCTCTGAATTATTTTTCTCTCTTTCTCAATGACTCAAGGGATTTCTTTCGTTATTTGAAACTATTAATTAATGGATTGTTAATTAGTGAAGAGCTAATTGTTTCCTCTAAATGCTTTTCTTTGAAAAAACGAAGAAGGTCCTTTTACATCTATACAAAATTACGTCTAGAGATTAGATTTTGTCTGTTGTGATGTTTTCTATACTGTAGTCCTCTCATGAAATCTCTACACGTTTCAAGAAATACCTGAGCTACATAAAAAACCTAATAATCCTGTAGAACTGTTAAATTCACAAATCAAATTGGCAATAGCGATACATGCCACTTTCAATAACCACCGAGTTGATATTAAAGATGATGAAATAATTCAGAAAGGTTTTCCCAGTTATAAAGAAAGGTGAGAAGCTGATGCGTTTCACAAAACGCTAAATCCCTGTGTTCATCTAGCTTAAACCGTTTATCCAAGTAAACAAATTTAATTCTA